AAGCTAGATGGTCAGCCCCTCAAACATGTCTGCATGGATAATGATTTCTTCCTGTACCTAGAGGAAAATGCCCAGTGATTGACTCAGGAACCCAGCACGAATGACTGACTTGAGTAAACGAATGAGAAAAGAAGCCTAGGGGATAGATGGGTACTGATCCAGGAAGCTTGAGCCCTCAAGCCTCTGAGAGAATTGTTTTGTCTTAAGAGGTAGGCAGAACAGGTGCTAGGGTCCCCTTCCTGTCAATCATAATAGCTAACCCTGACTGATAACTGACTGTGTTAGGCACTCTTCTAAGCATTCAACATGCGTTATTTCAGTTAATCCTCGCTATAATTTTTTATAAAGTAAGAACTATTATTATACCCATTTTACCAATAAGGAAGGGTGGCATAGAAAAGATGAGGAATCTACTCAAGGTTGCTTTGCTTGTGAGCAGCAGAACTAGGTCTTGAACCCAGGTGGGCTGTCTCTAAAGCCTGTGTGCTTAATTCTACCCCATACTGGGTGGGACCTGGGGATGCCTGTCTTTCCTGATCTCTTTGGTAGGATTTCCATGTTTCCACCCACCAGGGTAAACCCTGCTATGTTCCCTCTAAACAATCTAATTTCAGGACCTAATCTAGGGAAAAGAACCCTTCACAATGAGCCTTAACTTCATCCAATGGTCTAGAACAGGGGTCAGCAAACTGTGGCTTGCAAGCCACATGCGGCTATTTGGTTACATACATGTGGCTCTGAAGTAAAATTGAAAATGAAAATAAAACTATCATAGTTTCATTTATAAAATTTTTAAAGGATATTATTCACATAATGGCGATTTCATTTGTTTTATGGCTCTCGAATAATTTTTAAATTGTTGTGAGGCACTGGATTGGCTCTTCCATCTCAAAAGTTTGCCGACCCCTGTTCTAGGATACTGAATTTGGAGCTCTGTGCCACAGGTGTTTTGGTTAATTAGCCATATTTATTATGTCTAACGAGAGCCATGATTTTTTTTTTTAGAGCCATGATTTTTGTTGTGGGATGGGTTAATAACTGCAGAATTTTGGTTTATTGATAAGTGTTGTTGAATTCCCAGGGAAACACTGGTGATCTTTTCTTGGAAGCAGAGCCCCTAGGACTGCCTCTGGAATCCCCATTTTTCAGCCCTGGCACTCTGATTTCACTCTTAGTTACTTTGGGGAAAGGGGAGGAGGAAAAAGTCCACTCCTCCCAGTCACAGAATTCCAAGGATCTTCTCCCCTGGGGGTGGGGGTGGGGGNTGGTATCATCACTCTCCATGTCTAGGAGTTCATCCACATCAATCTCCAGCTCTGGGATCTCCTCTTCCTGGGGTGGGGGTGGGGGAGGAGGGAGACTAGGCTTAGGGACATAAATCTCAAGGCTGATCTACATTTCAATTAGAACCAGCCAAGGTTTAGGAATCACCTTTCATTTCACTTGTTTATTTTAGAATTAATTAGAGTTAAGGTAAGGAAAACCTTTGTGAAGTCTCTATTTTGGTTCAGAATTTAAACATAGGCTCAAACATTTCCAAGAAGTACATGTTTGTGTTTTTCCGAATATTTCCCAGAGAACAGGGCTCCATTGAAGTTCCTGGATATGGCACAGTTATCTCATCCAAACATCTAATTTGAATACTCTTTGTTTTATTTTAAATCTATTCCATTTGAGCTATTTTCCTGTGTATGAGAAAACCTCCTTTATCCAACATTCCTCATGGGCACAATTTTCTGAAAATTCAATATTCTCACTTCCACAAGCTTCAAATTCATCTCTGAAAAGAAGAATAGGTAGGAAGCAGACCTTTTTAAAAGTTATAACCATCCACAGGGACAGGGTGGCATGATGGTTAGATGCCCAGAGTATGAGGTCAGTCAGTCAGGCTTTATCACTCTCAAGCTGGGTGACCCTGGAAAAGGCAATTATTTTTTCTAAGACTCAGTTTCCTTATCTATGAAATTAATCTAGTAATTGTATCTTCCTTACAGGGGTGATGTGAGGATGAAATGAGATTATATACATAAAACACCTAGTCAGGGCTTGGCACTTAGGAAGCACTCAGTAAACATGAGACTGTTATTATTAGCTACTATTTGCTCTGTATCTGTTTAATTTCTAGGAACTTATACCACCAGCAGGGAGGTGCCACTGTAGACAAAGCCCAGCTAAGAGAATCAGGGACCTAGACTGTAGTTTCTGGCTCAGCTGCTAATTTATGTAATATTTGTTACATATTCAAGAATATATTTTTTGTAAGTTATGAAGCATAGTGATGAAACAATCACCTATGGACCTACCATTCAACTTAAGTAAACTATTACCACTGTTGAAGCTACTTTTGACTTCCTTCCCTAGCCCATTCCCCTGTCTTCCCTTAATATGACCATTTAGAGTTGTGTTTATCCTTTTATTTATTTTTTTTTTTTAGCTGAGCCATCCTGTCACCTGTTAGCAGCTCAGCAGCAGCTCAGCTTGGGCCAGGCATCGAACCACTGTTGCTCAGAGCTCGCACTCTTGAGCGAGCTCTTAAGCAACTGAGCCACTTGGTCAGCCCTCTTTTATTCCTTTTTAAAGGAATATATGTATATTTCCCTAAATGATATATTGCTTAGTTTCGATATTTATTTATTTATTTATTTAGCTGAGCCATTCTGCCACCTGTTGGCAGCTCAGTGGCAGCTCAGCTCAGCAGGGACTCGAACCGCTATTGCTCAGGGCTTGCACTCTTGAGCGAGCTCTTAACCAACTGAGCCACTCGGCTGGCCCTGGGTTTTGATCTTTATAAAGTGATGTCACATTGTATGAAGACTTCTACATTTCCCAGTGCAATTCTAAGATTGATTTATTCATGTGTTTGAGAGTAGCTTTATTCATTTTCACTGCTGTATAATATTCTATTACACTCCAGTTTATACTTTTTCTTGTTGGTGGACATTTGTCTTGCTTGGTTTTGCTACTATAAATAATGTTGCCATGAACATTTTCATATAAGTCTCCTGATATTTATGTGCAACAGTTCTCTAGGGTAAAGTTGCTGAATCACAGAGTAATTTTCAGAATAATTTCTGAAGAGCTTATATAGTCTGCTTGATCACTCTGCCTTCTCTTAGTCTCAGTTTCTACACATTAAAAAAAAAGCACAAAAACTTACATGATTAAATAAGACAATATATGTTAAAGTACTACTAAAACCATAGCATACCATACAAATTTTTAAATAGGATAATATTGTAATACCGACCCAATCTTAACAGAGAAGCAGAAATGGGCTAGTCGGAGACTGGAGTTAACATTTATTGAATAATTATTATTTATGTGTCATCTTGACACTTTAATCCTCACAATAATTTTAGGAGGAGGTATTATTTTCACTAATTTATAGATTAAAATGCTGAGGCTCAGAGATGTAAAGTTACTTGCCCAAGATTATGCATCTAGTGATGGAGCTGTTGTTCAAACAAGGCATGGTTTTCTACTTAATAGACGTTTTAAATACCTAGGATACAATGCCTGAATACAAAGAATTTTGATTATGACATCTCTCTTTTGGTCTCTGAGCCCAGGACCCATTTTTAATTTTTTTTACCCACAAGCATGTTTTGAGATAAAACTGGCTCAAGGTAAGAAAATATAGCGTGAAGAGATGCTGAATGCCACAAGAATGAACCAAGACTTGGATGCCTGGTAAGAAGATGGGTAAGCATAGAGCCCTCAAAAAGAGAAGCTTGTGGCTGAAACTGGGGACATGGTGTCAAATTCAAGTCAACCTCTTTCCTCTCTTTCCTTTTTTATTTCAGTAAGTATTTTTATATTTAAAAAAGTCTTACCAAATTCAGGAATTATCTAGGAGGTATTTAGAACACAAGCCTGAAAAAGACTTATTCTCTATTCTTTAGATCATGGTCTAGTGGAAAAGGCATTTTTAAAAATTTTATTGGGGAACAGCGTGTTTTTCCAGGACCCATCAGCTCCAAGTCAAGTAGTTGTTTCAATTTAGTTGTGGAGGGAGCAACTCAGTGGCCCATGTGGGGATCAAACCAGCAACTTCGGTGTTATGAGCATTGAGCTCTAACCAACTGAGCTAACCGGCCACCCTACAATATTTTAGTTCAAGATAGATTGTAAAAAAAATCAATAATGGAATACAACAGTGAACCAGTAATTTCACATATAGGCGATGTCTTGTAGTGAAAAACGTCAGGCTCTGAAGTTGGCACATCAGTTTAGCTCTGGCCAATTTAAGCGCTTAGCCTTCTCTCTCCTTATTGGTAAAATACTTACCTTTAGAATTATAACTCTGGTTACATGATTTTCTTGAGGATTACTGATAATGTAATTAAGTTCCTTGTATTTAGATGACACTCAATAAACAATGGACAGTATTTAATCCCCAAAGTAGGGAGGTGGAGCAAGTATGGTTATCCCTACATTTTAAATGAGGAAGCTAAATTTCAGTGAGATTAAGCAATTATTCTGAAATCACCAAAGTAGTGAAGACGCCAGCCCAAATTCTGATCTTCAGACCACCACCTGTTAAAAACAACACTTTCACCTTATGTTTTGTTGTTCAAATGCATTAAGAAGAATGAAGAACCTAGGATGACTATAGAGGGAAGTGGAACTTAAGCAGAGTTTTGACGTCCAGGAAGGTGAACTTAAGGAGGGCATTCCAGGAGTAACAGAGCGCACGTAGGGTACATCCGGGAAACGGTCGGGTCCGCCAGGGGTGGGTGTGGATTCGGAAGACTAGAGCGAAGTCTCCACCCACGCCTCAGGGTGCGCGCTTAGTATTTAGCAGGCGCCGGAACGCAAGCAGCCACAGGGAGGGACGTTTAAACTGAGACACCTGACGCACGCCAGGTCCTCTCCCAGATCACCCAGCCCATCTTCGGGGCGGGGAGCCGTGGGGGTAGCTAGCCTATCATCACTGCCGAGGCCGACGAAGTCTCTTTTTCATTGGTGATCGACAGGGAAACGTCACTTTCGCCGGGCCTGCAAAGGGAGAGGGTGCCATGATTGGTTGGCGCCGGGGCGGTGGAGGAGCTTGGCGAGTCTGGGTTTCAAGCCCGTGCTGGACTTTCTCCCATGTTTCGAGGCTTGCGGGGCTTCAGGGCACAGGGACTCGGCTGGGCGGAAACCTGGATTTAGTTCTAAGAGCCGTGGGGGTGACCGGAAGTGATCTTGGGGCTGACCGGAAGCGAGGCCTGGAGGGAAAGAGGAGAGTGGGTCCCGGGGAGGGAGGGGGCTCCCAGCTGAAGGGGGCGGGAGGAAAAGCTGCGAAAGCGGCGTGGGAGCGCCGGGTAAGCGGCGGGGGGGCTGCTGCTCTTCAGTTTGGGAAACAACGAGTGACCACGACCAAAAGGGGAGACCCTAGGGACTGGGAGTGTGGGAGTCCGGGGCTGCCTCTGGGCAGTCTGGAATAATTAAGCGACAGGACTCTCGCACGGCTCCAGGGAGCTGGGTGGGAGGGATTTTGGAAGTCTGGACATCCCAGAACGAGGAGCCAGGGGTACGGGAGGTTAGGTGTGCGGGCATTGAGGGTCAGGCTTGGGGGTGGCTCGTGGGTACTGAGTGGGAGATCTTGCTTTGGAGTTTTCTACAGTCTTGTCCCCGTTGGGTAGACTCACACTACTCACCTTTGTACAAGAAACGGTGTCTCTCCTGGTGCAAGGAAGGATCCAGGATGGCCTGGGCTCTGAAGCTTCCTCTGGCCGATGAAGTGATTGAATCCGGGCTGGTGCAGGACTTTGATGCTAGTCTGTCGGGGATCGGCCAGGAACTGGGTGCCGGTGCCTATAGCATGAGGTGAGTGAGATTTTCCCAGACACTGCACCTTCTGAATAACAAAGGCAAAGAAAGGACAGAGAATAGCGATGGGGGAGCGGGAATGTATAGAGTTGAAGCCGTCTGCAGTTAGGGAAAAGGGACTTGTTTCTTTTGTTGCTTTGAGTAGTGAGTATTGTGGAAGAAATGGAGCAAGAGATTTTAGGCAGGGTCATGTCTGCAGAGTCAGTGGAAGAAGGAAGAATGGCCCTTGATTAGCAGCCAGATGAATGTTGAGGAGCTGTTGTGCCAGTGTGAACGACTTGGAAACTGATGGTGTGTGGATAGGGTGGACTGGACTTATGTGAAGAAGAGGTCACATTGAACATGGGAGGGATGTCTAGGAAGTTGGGGAGTTGGGAGCTGGGTGGTAATGATGAATATTGGTTGAGTGCCTGTTGGAAGGAAATGTGAGACCTTGGTGAAGAAGTCCGCACATCTGTATCATAGCCTGCTTAAGGCCTGTAAAATAAAAAAATGTGAAAGAGAGCTTTTAGATGCTTTGAGACCTTCAAGCCAAATGTTGATAGTAAATAAAAATATTATTTGAAAGCAACATGACTTTCCCATGTAGTATATTTGTATGCATTAGCTACTTCATTCCCCCGGTGTACTGTACTTTGTTTTGTTTATAAGATGTGTAAGAATCATGTCTGGAAATGTTGAAACATCTGCATCTTAGGGTGGAATATATTTGGGTAAGGTAAATAAGTGAAAAGAGACTTTAGAACATAACGCTTTAATTGGGTTTAGGGGTTTGTGGGGAAAGATGCTTTCTATGGAGAAAGTGGACAAATTTTGCATTCTGATAGTAAGATCCTTTGAGAATTACATAATGTAAACATCCTTTCTTTATCCCTGTTAAACCAAAGTAGATTTTCCTCACTGAAATAAAATTATGAGTTAGAGCCCAATACTTCATCTTCAGGAATCTTTGCTTACAGTTCGAATAATAAAGGCTATCCATGTATATGTATTTTAGTGATTTTTCGGGGAAATTTGAGTTCTATCACATAGTGCTCTTAGTCTTCAGAAATTTAACTCTAATCTTGCCTGTCCTTGTTTACATAAGTCTGACTATAAAAATAGAGATTAACTTGGTCTGAAAGTAAATGTCTGGACCCTGAGCTTGCATGCCATAATCTGACATAATATTTGACAATTTATGCTATTGTTCATGTAAAGATTACCACAGCAAAATGCTCAGTTTTTGCCTAGGTTATCAGAATTTAGGATGGAGATAGTTAAACATAACTGTACTTGTTATAAAAGTAATTAACATTGTCAACAAACATTTGTTTATTTACTATGTACTCTTACTCTACCGTTTTGAGCTTACACTGATGAGTACTTTCTGTGTCATACTGTGAGTGGTTTCACAGATATTAGTAAGAATGGCTTGCGTATTTACACATTGAGAATTTTTTGCCAACATCAAATCCAGAGGAGTTTTCAAACATCATGTTTTCTCAAGAGCACAATGTGCCAAAATTTTAATTATTTTTTTCACCTTTTTCATGCGTTTTGCTCTTGTAACTATTCTCTTAGATCTTGCATATATTTACTCATTTGCATCAATTTGTGTTAATAAGATATTAGCTCTCAAATTTTAGTATCCATAAGAGTCATCTGGAATGCTTATTAAAAATTGTTTCCAGGGTTCCATCTTTGGTGATTGGGCACAGACCAAAAATCCGATTGTTCATCTAAAACAAATTCTTAGATGATTTTGATGCAGGTAGTTCAGGGACCACATTTTGAGAAACACTGACTAGAGAGGTTTTGATAGACAGACAAAGGCAGTGGTTTTTTGTTCTTCCTGTTTCTCCTTTTAATTAGAACTTGTGATTGCTTTTCCTACACCTTCCTTAGGGAAAATGTTTTCTTTGACAAGCAGTTTGTTCTGTAAAAATTTTTTCATAACATATTTGTTTTATTCTATTTTGCTTATTTTAATGGTTTATATTTTATAGAGACTTATTATAACTGGGTTTCTGTTTTTGATTATTGATCTGCCATTGTATTCAGTATGTTCTTTTCATAAGTGAGTTCTTTAATTTTCTCACATTTTTTCTTACATTTTAATACATAGCACATACTTTATAGCTAAAATAAAGGAGATTCTTTGGAAATGTGCTGAATGAAAGAAGCCAGTCACAAAAGACCACTCAACATATGATTCCATTTTTATGAAATATACAGACTAGGCTCCATTTACAATCGCTCCAAGAACTATAAAATACTTAGGAATAAATTTAACCAAAGAAGTAAAAGACCTGTACTCAGAAAATTATAAGACACTGAAGAAAGAAATAAAATAAGATACAAACAAATGGA